TTTTTTGTGCGTTAATTATTTTGTGTTAAACATAAAAATTAGTATTATTTTGTAATAAACATATTATTTTGTTTTAAAATTATTTTCAAAACATATATTAACACTTATACACTATATATAACTTATTATAATTTTTAATTAATATTTCATGTATAACCCACGCATCGCGTGGGCAACTTTCTAGTATATATATACTAGAAAGTTTCCCACGCGATGCGTGGGTTATATATGAAATATTAATTTGAATTAGAAATTGAAAACTACATTAAGATATGTAGTTTATAAGTAACTGTTAATATAAAACATATTTCTGTACATTATAAACAATAAAAGTAAATAAAATATATATTTGAAAAATATGAAACCGAATGAGATCAAAACAAAGTGATACAAATTAGCACATACATAATATAGTAGGCAATTGTAAATTGATGTTAATTTTTTGTGTGTACATTGTTAATATTAAAAGTAAACAAAACTCATATTTCACCTAAGATATATGATTTTTTAGACCTTACTTAGAAAAAAAATTTCAATTTAGAAAATATTTCACCTGAGATATAAGAGCTTTTGATTTATAATTATGTAAACACTAAAAAGATACAGCAAAAGCCTAATCAACAGATGAAGATTATTTGAAAAAAAATTCTAATTGATTAGAAAAGAAGCTCACATATACGTAGATGAGATCCTTTTTTATATATTAAAAATTATTTTATGTAAAATTTGTTCAAGAATAAAATTAATATTGAAACGATTTAAGAACAAACATAAAGATTGACAGAACTATAAAAGCTAAAGAAATGAATTTATATTAAAAAGGCGTCACATGTTTACATCAACATTAACAAAGAAGATGAACGAATATATCTGTCTATTATATGTACATGACAACAATCATGAAATGCTCTTAAGTAATCAAATTTATGTTCGGTCTCTTTAGTAATATCTAACTTGGGTTAGATATTTATATTGTTATGAAAAGAAAGACTATTATTTAGAACAAATGATTAAATATGATATTAGTGTAGAGTGTAGATTGGATATGATATTAGTGTATAACTCATACCTTATTAAATATTAGAATTTAATAGGATTTTAGTGAAGTTCATTAATTCATAAAATGTAATAAAAATGTAATAGAATTTAAATAAAAGGTAAAAAGTTATGTAAAATAGATGTTTTAATTATGTGATTGTAAATCATATATATATATATGCAATATGAAATTTTATTATACAATAATCTGTTTTTTTTTTTTGGCAAAAGAACTTTAGGTATTAAAAATTGGATTAAGAAGTAGATGTCAAGTTATATTTATAGGAAAATAACTTTAGTTATATCTTTTGCTTTACACAAATGAATTTTGGATCCCAATTAATAATTTTACTCATAATAATTTTATTTTAATTGTTACCTAATTATATGATTATTTGGAAATAAGATTGACATAAATGTTTAGTAAGAAATAAAAATGAAAATAATTAATTAAAAATAAAGTATAACACGTGTCATCAACAAAGAGCCCCAAATGTCGTAACGTGGTGGAAAGTAGAAAAAACCTTGTTCAACTGATGAATGAAACAAAATTTAACTTTTATGAACTATATGATTTTAAAAAAAATAAAGACCAATTTTTTAAAACCAAGTACTTTTTGTTTCTTTTTAAACAGTTAGACCTCAAATTTTAAATAAATTAAATATTATAATAATCTATTGGATCACAAACTAAATATAATTATACATATATTGAAATGAATTACAAAATATTATTTGAGATTTTCAAAAAATAGAAGAAGTTATTTGTTAAAGGTTTAAATACCGTATAAAATACCTTTTAAAAACCATTTAAAAACCTTATAAAAACTTTGTAAACCTTTTAAAAACCTTATAAAAATCTTATAAATGCCGTTTATAACCTTTTAAAGCCTTATAAATATTTGGATTTAGTCTCCCAGTAGTAATGATGATCTTGATTTACCTTATCAACCATATAAAAGTTTATAATTTTTCATATTTTAAAAGGGGTGTTTTTGAAAATGGATAGAAAAGAAGGGTATTTTTAAAAAGGGTATACCAAAAGGGGCATTTCTCAAAAATTCTCAAAAACATAAATCACCTGGTAAACAAATCTACTATGTTATAAATCCATTAGCCCTAAAATAAGTTAACTGTTTTAAATTATGTGAATAAAAAATAAGTCAACATAAGTACGTAAGCAAATCAATAATTCAAAAAATCAACCTTATCAATAAATCAATATTGAATAAAATAAGTCTAAAAATCGAATATTTTTTTATATAATCTCAAATTACATATTTATTTATTAAGTAAAATTTTTTTTTTAAAAATAAATATTTTTTTATTGATTAAAAATCATATATAATTATTAGTTTCAAAAAAATAATTCTTATAATTTCTGGTTATTAAATATATTAAAATACGATTTTAATTAATTTTAAAATAATTTTTTTTTAACATTAAGTTTTTATTGTTTTTAGTTAATTTTTTAAAAAATGTTTATTAAATAAAATGACATTTTTGTCCATTTCTAGTTTAAAATGTGTAGTTTTCAAATAACAATAATATGAAGTGTAGTTGTCAAATTTCATGTAAAATTTGGTATAATTTTAAAAATTTCCCCTTTTATTTATATAACAATCAAAACTTTTATTTTACATATGTGTTATATCATACTTTCTTCATTCATACTCATAAGTATGAAAACGTATGTATAATAAGGCATTAGAAATAAAAATTGAAACTATGTTTGATATATATCATACTTTCTAAAATAAACTAAGATCAAATTCTTAGAAAGATACTTTTATTAATTTTCAATCCATATAACAACACAAAAATAGAAAAATATTTAAGATACATGAATGTAGTGAAAGAGAATGTGAGAGAGAGATTAATTATAAGATGAAAGTGGCTCCTAAGCTTAAGCATTTTCTCTGGCGAATACTTTCCAATGCTCTTACTACAACTACTGAGTTAAAAAGATGAGGAAACATTGGAGCATTTATTTTTCAGTTGTTTCTACTCTCAAGATATTTGGAAGAACAATCCCAAATAGTGTCATATAAAACAATGTAAATATATATCATATAGTACTAAAATTAAAATTTAGATTAAAATTTAGATTAAAATTTTACAATGCAAATTAATTTTGTTTTTCAACTCATACAACAACAAACAGCCAACAACAAAAAACAGAAAACAAAACAAACTCAATTATAGAAGATTTGAGATAAAGTGGAAGAGGCGGAGGGAATGAGAGAATGAGAAAATGAGTATTTATAAGATGAGAATTGATGAGAGTTACAATTTAGAAGAACAAATTGTAGGATTTAATTCTAATTTATTGAGTGTTGACTAAATTTGAGTACAAAAATATCGTGAATGCAAATTTATATTATTTTAGTTTTTATATTAAAGTGTGAGTTAAATGTATATAATTAATTGTGTTTTAATTGAATATAAATATAGATGATCAAATTTTTTCTTATTTATGGCTTGATTAAAATAATTTTTTCTTTAGGTTTATATTAAATTGTCAGTTTAATATATTTAACTAAATGTGTTTTATTTTTGGTTTAGTTGAAAACATAATTTCAAAAAAAAAACATTTTATAGAAAATAGACCAATAAGAAGAAAGTGAAACAAACCACAAATAAAACACAATTGATGATATATATCTATCTCTCACTTTAATTTTAAAACTGAAAAATATATATTCAATTATAACACAATTAATTAGATCTCTACATTTAACTCACACTTTAATATAAGAACTGAAATTATAAAAATTTGCATTAGCTATATTTCCCTACTCAATTTTATTCAACAGAAATTAATAAGAATTAACTCCCACAATTGTTGATTTACTATCAAATAATTAAAACATCTATTTTACTCAATTTACATACATTTTATTTAAGTTTCTTCCATCATTAAAGTGAAAAAAGAACAGAGTATTTTATAATAAAATAAATATGATGGATGAAAATTTAAATAAAATGTAAGAAGATTATGTAAAATAGATTTTTTAATTATGTGATAGTAAATCATATATACATATATATGCGATATATCATATGCAATATGTGATTTTGTTTTAAAACTTTAGTTATATCTTTTGCTTTAGAGAAATGAATTTTGATCCCAATTAATAATTTTACTCATAATTATTTTTTCATAATAATTTTATTTTAATTTTTACCTAATTATATGGTTATTTGGAATTAAGATTGACATAAATGTTTTAGTTAAAAATTAAAATGGAAAAAATTAATTAAAAATAAAGGATGACACATGTCATCAACATAGAGCGCCAAATGTCGTAACGTGGTGAAAAGTTAGAAAAAACCTTGTTATATTATATAAGATATATATATGATTCTAGACTACTAAGATAGAAAGTGAACAAAATTTTGTCTCAGTGAAATTGATAGTCTGGTTTAAAATTTTGTTTGCTTTAACAAGAATTCACTTTTATGATTGAAGGATCATCAATACAATAAAGAATAAGTCTACTTGTCATGAAATTAAGAGAAGTTACAGACAACTCAGTAGACTAGTCCGCTAAGACGTAAAAGACAATGTTTGATTAAGTTTAAAAGAAAATGTTTGTTTTAAGTGTAAAGTGTGTAGCAATTGGTTTTAATTTTTCCTGGAAAAGTTGACTTACTCAGTTACTCGTCAAGATGAATTGATGTTCACGTGGAAGAAATTGTATCTCTCTTATAGATAATTATAGACTGGCTTCAGATTGATCAGCACTTATAAACAAAAGAGGGGGAAAAAATTTGTGTAAATTTTTGAATATGCGTTTTTTTCTTCGTTTGTCTCTTCCTTTTGCCTTCCTCTCAAGTCGCATAGCTTCCAAAAGACAGTTACGTTTACCTTGACTTTGATTTTTCCTCGTCAGTCATAATCAATTTATTTCATATATCGGATTCCGAGCGATGCAAACATTAATCAATGAAAACCAATAATGTATACTTGCGCCTCCTTCATCTCCCTAATTCTTTTCTTATCCCTCACTAGCTTCACAGCTCTTGCTCAAAACCCTCGTTACCTAAGTCGTTATTGTCCAAATACGACAACTTACTCAACTAAAAGCAAGCACTTCACCAATATCAAAACCCTTTTGTCATCTCTCTCTTCCCGTAATGCCTCTTACTCCACTGGATTCCAAAACGCTACCGCGGGACTATCCCCCAATAGGGTCACTGGACTTTTCCTTTGCCGTGGAGACGTCTCTCCTGAAGTTTGTCATCGATGCGTCACCTTTGCCGTCAACGACACCTTTACTCCGTGTCCGAACCAGAGAGAGGTTGAGCTCTATTACAATGAGTGTATGCTCAGATATTCTCACCAGAATATTTTATCGACTCTAAACACAGATGGAAAAATACTAATGAAAAACATGAATTATTTTACATCTGTCACAAAAGATAGGTTCAGAGATTTGGTCTTGTACCCCATGAACCTAGCCGCCATTGAAGCTGCGAGGAGTTCCATAAAATTCGCTTTTAGAGAAATAGGTTTAAGTTCACTAGAGAGTTTGTACGGAATGTTTCAGTACACTCCTGATCTGACGGAACAAGACTGCCTAAACTGTCTGCAACAAGGCATCAACCAAATATCCAATGACAATATTGGGGGAAGATTTCTTGCGCCAAGTTGTAACTCAAGATACGAGCTCTACGCGTTTTACAACACATCCTCCGCTAAAACACGTCAAGGTCCTCAACTGCAGCTGGATTCAGCTCCTCCTCCACCGCAGATTTCGATTTCTTTACCACGACCTGGTCTGAACAGTCGCTTTCCTTTGATACATTATTTTCAGCGCAACTTCTTCTGAGACATTTGAAAGATTTACTAAAACTAGGGTTCATGTGTTCTAATAGCAAATTGTTAATACAGCAGGAAAAGGCAGAAACTCCTCTATCGTAATCATTGCCGTTCTTGTTCCAATCACTGCAGTTCTTCTTCTTTTCGTAGCTGTTTTCCGTGTCCGGACTAAGAGAAAAAAGACGATTTATGAGACAGAACCACTTGCTGAAGGTAAAAAGACCGATCCTCTTTCCAAGCCGGATGAATTATCTGCTGTGTTTGTATATTAAACTCAGCTGCTGAAGTTGTTTCTACAGATGGGGATGATATTACAACTGCAGGCTCACTTCAGTTTGACTTTAAGGCGATTGAGGCAGCTACGAATAACTTTTTGCCAAGTAACAAGCTTGGACAAGGTGGATTCGGTGAAGTTTACAAGGTATTCACTACCATTGCATAGGGCTTCCACTGTAGCTATTTATCTACAAGTATAAATTGAATGATACATTAGGATAAATTAATTTAGAGTTTTGAACTTTGGTAGCTTACTAAGTTGTGCAAAACGTTGCTAAACACCTCATCACCCTCTAGGTTTTGAATCGAAACAGATGACATCAACCTTGATATTGGAAACAACTGTAAAAATCATGTAATACTCTGTTTTTCCCCTGTTTCCAATTAGATCTCACCCAAATACTTTGAACATTGACATGTATGGGATTACAAAACTCACAATACCAGCACACAAATTCTTCCTCTTTATCAATTTTAACGAGTTGCGGAACAAACAAACTCCTCTAGTCATTAACTATCATCCTTCTTTTGTATGAAAAACTAACTTCTTGAGAACATGTTCATTTTCATGATTTATCTTACATCCAGTTCTCTTATGATTATTTTTTTTTTTAAATTACGTAGGGTACATTTCCTAGTGGAGTACAAGTTGCCGTTAAGAGGCTATCGAAGACATCAGGACAAGGTAAAAAAGAATTTGAAAACGAAATTGTTGTTGTGGCAAAGCTTCAGCATAGAAATTTGGTAAGGCTGCTTGGTATTTGTTTAGAAGGAGAAGAGAAGATACTTGTCTACGAGTTTGTGTCCAACAAAAGCCTTGATTACTTTCTTTTTGGTCAGTTAAATTTGATACTTAGCCTAAGATTCTTCAAATTGCATGACATTCTTTGTTTTTAACATTTTGAGTACACATGTGCAGACTCTACGATGCAAAGGCAGCTTGACTGGGCAAGACGGTACAGGATCATTGGAGGAATTGCTAGAGGAATTCTTTATCTTCACGAAGATTCACGACTCACAATTATACGCGGGGAACATCCTCTTGGACGCTGATATGAACCCAAAGTTGCAGATTTTGGAATGGCGAGAATTTTTGGGATGGACCAAACGGAAGCCAATACAAGAAGAGTAGTTGGAACTTAGTAAGTATATTACCCTTGCCATTTATTTAATATATATATATACTGTAATATGTTTCAATCAACGTAAAATTTAAGAATTGTGGCAGTGGTTACATGTCTCCCGAGTATGCAATGTATGACCAGTTCTCCATGAAATCAGATGTATATAGTTTTGGGGTCTTAGTTCTTGAGATTATAAGCGGCATGAAGAATAGTAGTCTCTATCAAATGGATGGTAGCGTTGGCAACTTGGTTACATATGTGAGTATAAATCTTTAGATTTTCTAGTATTTTTTATTCTTTATTCAGAAAGTGTCTAAATCATCTAAATGTTCAATAGACTTGGAGAATATGGAGCAATAGGTCGCCATTAGAGCTTGTGGATTCTTCATTTGGAGATAATTATCAAACAAGTGAAATTACCAGGTGCATCCATATTGCTTTACTGTGTGTACAAGAAAATGCTGATGATCGTCCAAACATGTCAGTGATACTCCAAATGCTCACTACTAGCTCGATAGCTCTCGCCGTACCTAGACAACCTGGATTTTTCTTTAGAGGTAGGCATGAACAAGTAGGAGAAGTGGGTACATATTCAGATAGGTTTGCTTTATTTTCTATCGATGATGCTTCCATTACTAGCGTTGCTCCTCGTTGAAGACAAAACTATTCATAAATCTAAACATTTGTGATATATATGAGTCTAGACTATTATGATTGAAAGTGAACAATGTTTCGTCTGAGTGAAACTGAAAGTCGTCTGATTTTAAGTTTTGTTTGCTTTTAACAAGGATTCATCTTAGTGGTCGAATCATCATCAATACAAAAAGGAATAAGTCAACTTGTCATGAGATTAAGAGAAGTTACAGACAACTCAGTAGACTAGTCTGCTAAGACTTGCTAGATAGAATTGTAAAGAAATTTACTCTTCCCATTATATGTCTTTATCTGTATTTGTTTTGTTGCTCTCGTCGTGAGAATATGTCCACCTTGCGGAGTTAAGATATCTAGACTCTCCAAATGATGAGAATAGTGCAGTAAGAAGAGATGAACGAAAGAGAGATGACTCGATGAGTATATGTTTCCACGCCCACAGATTCCTAACTACTCTTGTTTACTCTCATTATTAATCCTATAAAACGAAAGCCTAATAAAGTTCATCTTGCTGTCATTATTTTCTGTCTTGGGTTATTAAAGATATATCATCCCTGATCACATATACAATCTATCTTTCCGAACAGGATCATCCATCCACACAAAGCTAATGATCTAAAAGGAAGATATATTCATTAATGGACTAGAATAATTTGAGAAAAAAAAATGTTGTAATTTGGTTTAAAAGAAAATGTTTGATCTAAATATGTAACAATTGGTTCTTAGTTTTTGCAGTGAAAAAGTTGACTTACTCGTCAAGATGAAGTTGATGTTCACGTGGAACAAATTGTATCTCCCTCTTAAAGATAATTATTATCTGGCTTCAAATTGATCAGCACTTATAAACAAAAGAAGGAAAAGGAAAAATTGTGTAAATTTCTGATGATGCGTTTTTTTCTGTTTGAGTTCTTGTACATAGCATGATAGCAACACGAGCTTTCTTAGAAAATACCATTTACCTTGACTTTGATTTTTCCTCGTCACTCGAGAAAGTAGCCTATCTTTCACAGAGAGAAAAAAATATCAAATTTATTTCACAAATCGGATTCTGAGTAATTATGCCTTCTCGCGCCTCTTTCATCTTCCTTTTCCTTTTCTCCTTTCTCGCTAATTTCAAAGTTTCTGCTCAAAATCCTAATTACCAATCCCATCTCTGTACCAAGACGACAACTTTCTCCAGGAACAGCACTTTCTTTAACAACCTCGAATACCTTTTTTCCGTTCTCTCTTCCCCTAGCATCTCCTACTCCACCGGATCCCAGAACGTCACCGTGGGGGAGCCTCCTGACAGTGTCACCGGACTTTTTTATTGCAGTACAGTTGTCTCGCCAGAAGTTTGCCGTAGCTGCGTCGCCTTTGCCGTCAAGGACACCTTAATTCGATGTCCGATTGAGAGAGAGGTGACGCTCAAGTACTATGAGTGTACGCTCAGATACTCTACCTTCAGGATTTCTTATGGAAATCCTAATTACCTATATCATAATTGTCCAAATACGACAACTTACTCAAAGAACAGCACTTACTTAACCAATCTCAGAACCCTTTTGTTCTCTCTTTCGTCCCATAACGCTTCTTATTCCACCGGTTTCCAGAGCGCCACAGCTGGGCAAGCTCCAAACAGGGTCACCGGACTTTTCCTTTGCCGCGGAGACCTCTCGCCGGAAGATTGCCGTAACTGCGTAGCTTTTGCCGTCCGGGAAAGCTCAAATCAGTGTCCGAATAAGAGAGAGGTCATGGTCTATTACGATGAGTGTATGCTCAGATACTCTCACAAGAATATTCTATCGACCCTTTCGTACGACGGATATTTACTCCTACAGAACCAGAATAATATTTCTTCTAATCATAAAGACAAGTTTCTAGGTTTGGTATCCTCCACGATGAACCAAGCTGCCATCGAAACAGCCAGTAGTGCAAGAAAATTCTATACGTCAAAGACCGAATTGAACAAAGTCACGACTATTTACGGGCTGCTTCAGTGCACTCCTGATCTTACAAGACAGGACTGCAAGAGATGTTTGCTACGTTCGATCGGTGGAATGTCTCTTTACCAACTTGGAGGAAGACTTGTTTATCCGAGTTGTATTGCAAGGTACGAGCTTTACCAGTTCTACCAAGAAATCAGCATTAAAACACCGCCAAGATCAGCCCTTCCACCGGTTTCAACTCCTTTTCCACCACCACCACCGATCTTTCTTTCTCCTCCATCACCGCCGATTTCAATACTCTCACCACGACCTGGTCTGAACATCCTATTTTCCTTTGATCAATTACATGTTTCAGCACATATCTTATTTTGAGTCATTCAGAGATATGCTAAAACAAGGGTTGATATGTGTTGATCTGATACAAACTATGTATGTCAATACAGGAGAACGTGGGAACTCTTCTGTCATAGTTATCACTGTTGTTGTTCCAATCACCGTCCTTTTTCTTCTTTTCATAGCTATTTATAATTTTCGGACTAAGAGAAAGAGGATGACTCATGAGACAGAACCACTAGCTGGAGGTAGACTCCAGTGATTATCTTCTCATCTCGAATGAATATTCTCTTATCTGAATTAAGCTGTCGAGGTTATTTCTACAGATGGAGATGATATTAAGACTGCAGGCTCACTTCAATTAGATTTTAGGGCAATTGAGGCAGCAACAGATAATTTTTCGGAAAGTAACAAACTCGGTCAAGGTGGATTCGGCCAAGTCTACAAGGTATTATTGTAACATTGTATAAGGCTTACTTCTTAGATAGTTGGATATCTACAAGTTTTAAACCTTGCAAACGTTCTAAATCATGCAAATCGTTGCCAAGCACCTCACCACTCTCTCAGTTAAAGTCGAAGCATATCATGTAAAGCTTAAACTTTGAAACCACGAGAGTGGTGAATTGTTTGACTAAGTCTGTACAGTGTGTGTTTCTTTCAACTCAAAACCACAGTAACGTGTGTTTCACAACAATACAAATCATGTAAATCACCCACAATACTCTGTTTTTCTCTCCTGATCCCAAATCAAATATCACACACATATGTTTAGCATTGAGACATATAGGATTAACTGCAAAAAATAATTTTGTACTATCATTGTGGACCAAAAAAAACTGTCCTTAATTATGTTCCTTTTAATGTAACAAATTCTAACATAATTGCACTTGAGTACTTGATTTTTATGAATAATCTTAGACCCAATGCACATACTTATATATGAATCCTTTTAAAATAAACCACCCTTTTTTTTTGTCTGTAAACAAATAAACCACTCCTACAGGGTACATTTCCAAGTGGAGTACAAGTTGCGGTGAAAAGGCTATCTAAAACATCAGGACAAGGTGAAAGAGAGTTCGAAAACGAAGTTATTGTTGTTGCAAAGCTTCAACATCGCAATTTGGTCAAGCTTCTTGGGTTTTGTTTGGAAGGAGAGGAAAAGATACTTGTATATGAGTTTGTGGCCAACAAAAGCCTTGATTACTTTCTCTTTGGTCTGTTAAATTCAATACTTACCGTAAGATATAGTTTTCAATTTGCATGCCACTCTTTGTTACTCACATTCCAAATACTATTTGTGTAGATTCAACGATGCAGAGCCAGCTTGATTGGGCAAGACGGTACAAGATCATTGGAGGAATTGCAAGAGGAATTCTTTATCTTCACCAAGATTCACGACTCACAATTATACACCGTGACCTCAAAGCGGCCAATATCCTCTTGGATGCTGATATGAACCCGAAAGTAGCAGATTTTGGAATGGCGAGAATTTTTGGGATGGACCAAACGGAAGCCAATACAAGAAGAGTAGTTGGAACTTAGTAAGTATTGCTCTTACCATTGTTTTCATCTGTAGACCGTAATACGTTTCAATCAACTCAAAAATTAAAAACTATGGCAGTGGTTACATGTCTCCCGAGTATGCAATGTACGGCCACTTCTCCATGAAATCAGATGTGTATAGTTTTGGGGTCTTAGTTCTTGAGATTATAAGCGGCATGAAGAACAGTAGTCTCTACCAAATGGATGGTAATGTTGGTAACTTGGTTACATATGTGAGTATACAGCCTTAAAACCTTTAATATTTGTTTAAATGCATTATTTAATTTGATCAAAGTACATATGATTAAATTGTTGATGTTCAATAGACTTGGAGATTATGGAGCAACGGGTCGCCATTAGAGCTTGTGGATCCATCTTTCGCAGATTACTACCAAACAAATGTAATTACTAGGTGCATCCACATCGCTTTACTCTGTGTTCAAGAAAATGTTGAAGATCGTCCAACTATGTCAGCAATTCTCCAAATGCTCACTACTAGCTCGATTTCTCTTGATGTGCCTAAACAACCTGGGTTTTACTTTCGGGGTAGGCATGAACAAGTACGAGAAGTTGGTACATCTATCAATAGGTTTGCGATATGTTCAATCGATGGTGCTTCCATTACTAGCGTTGCTCCTCGTTGAATACAATTCACTAAAAGTTGTAATATATGATTCTAAACTATTAAGCCTGGACTATGAACAAAGATTTGTTTAAATCAGACTGTTTCCACAGTTCATTTGTTTTTTTATATGTCCAGCAAGTTGCTATATGATATTAAGTTTTATAGCTTGGTTTCTTTAACAAGGATTCATCTCAGTCATCTTAGTAAGTTTTTTTTTTTTTTTTGAATAATCAAAGAGGTTCTGGGCCGATGCCCATACATCCCCTCAGGCCCGAGACCAAAACATGTTATATGGTCTCGTCCCAAGCGCTATTTGAACCGGCGACCTGTAAGCTTTTGCCAGAGATTTTTACCAATTGAGATATTAGCAACTGGACTATGAATAAGAAATTGACAACTTTGTTTTTTTTTTTTTTTAAGACACTGGCTTTTAAGTTTTACTCTCTACATTCTCTTACCGGCTTGTCATTCTGATTCGTTTTGACGTTTGAGAAATCCAGTGTTCTAAACCCGTCCTTGTGGTTCCATGATATAGAAATGGGAGAAGGCCCGGTTAAAGTAACGTGTGAAGCAAGTTTTGTTACATGTCGCTTACTAGACTATTAAGCGAAAAGAAAATGAAATAATGCTCTTTTTAAAAACAAACCTCCAAATGTCCAACAGAATAACGGTCAATCGTTATCAATACAAAATTATATCAGAAGACAGAGGTCGAGAGGTCTTTTATTGATGCCCCATGAAAGGAACCTAAAGGACTTGTATACGTACGCCAGCTATTGAAATGAAGACTAGTTTGCATGAAACTTATATCGTTTTCTCTCTATAATTCTCTGCACAGCCAAAGTTCCATTTCATGCTTGTCTTGTTTAGCTAACACTTATCTAAAAATCCTACAAGTCTACATTTTGTTGTATTATTTAAAATGTGTAAACAATCGCATTTCTCGTTTTTTGAATAAGTTGGAATACTAGCCAAGAAGAAGTTGACATTGACGTGGAAGAAAATGTATTCGCTTGCATGATGTAATTACTGTCTGGCTTCGGATTGATTGGACTCGATCGTTAACAAAAGAACAAAAACAGAAATTAAGGAAGGGAAAGAGGGACTGATGAGAAATATTAAATTACGGACTGATATCGATTATGGGATTTATCTCTTCGTCACGTCAAATCTCTAATTCTAAGTCTTCTCTTTTCATTAATGTAAGTTTGGATCCAAAACTAGAACATCTCAGTCTCTAATGTATCATTTGCGTTTTCGTTAAATGATACTTCTCTTCTCCAATTGCTCGAGGCATAAGGTCAGAACGATCAAAATTGCTGAAATTTATGTTCTCTTTGAGATCGATTTGGTTAATTTTAGCGCGAATTCTAGATTTCAAGTTAAGAGTATGACGTATTTGAGAACTTTTGGTCTACAGGAGAAGAAAAGTCCTAAACCATGTTTCAAAGGTTTTCTGTGGATTTGAGAAAGTTTTGTATGTTATTGCAGTGTAATTGTGGAAGCCTTGAAAATGGATAGTATACAGAGGCTCTGTTTGTCTTTGGAACCGATTCTTAGCCTGAGTGGTAAGATTAAAAAGGCTTGTCTTAGATGTCTTTAGGTGTCTCTTTTACTTTATGGGGTTTTGTGGCTTACTGATTTGTCTTGTGAGCATTGTGCTTTTTCTAATGCTTGAGTTCACAGGTCGTCTCCAAGCGAATTGAAGGCATTGGTAGAAGGAATTTGCAGCTGCAATTCAGGTCTAGATTGTCTGTTCCTTTGTTTATTGGAGGGAATATAGAAGGGGAGCAAGGTGCTGCAATCCATGTTGTGCTGTTGGATATATATTACAACTGTTCATGTATTGACAGTAGGACCTGAAGCTTCTGCAAAGCTCGATGTTACTGTGCTTGACAGTGATTTTAACACTGAGGATGATAAAGGTTGGAGTGGAGAAGAATTTGAGGGTCATTTGGTGAAAGAGCGTCAAGGAAAGAGGCCTCTCTTGACCGTTGACGTTGAAAGAAGGGGTGGGGAACACTAGGGGAATTTATCTTTACGGACATGAGACAACTCTGAGACGTATATTGTATAAGACATATATAGTTTGTTTGATGTTAACTTATTTATCATTTGATTAATATAATTTTTTCTGTTCCTAATATTTCAAAGTTAGTTAATTACAATTTTTATTTACATATTGACACATAATTAATGAATTGTTCGTTTAACTAATTGCTAGTCAATATATGTAATTTACTGTCTTTAGCAAACCGACGTAAAGATACGAAGAAAACAGAGATGATCAGAACTTAAAATAATATTTTTTTTTGTCAACAGCAATAATATATAGGTTTAAAGGAACCAAGAGTTTGGGACGTTGTTTACATACAAACAAATTAGCGGCTCAGCACGCACTCTACGTGCTAACATATCCGCTTTAATATTAGAGTTACGAGGAACTTTAACTAGAGAAAAAGACAGAAAATGTACTTCCCTATCTGCTTTAATCTCGTCTAAGTAGTTGACAAACGCTGGCCATTCTGCTGGGGAAGACACCATCTCCACCAAATCTGAACAGTCTGTAATGAACGTCACGTCACGTCTCCCTGCGTTGATCATACACTTCATGGCCCAAACTAATGCTTCGACTTCTGAGTGTAGTGGCGAGAGACTCCTTCTAAGGTTTGCAGCGCCCATAATGGGGACATCGTTCGTCATCGTACAATACCAACCTAAACCTGTAAATTTATCTCCCTCTTTCCATGAACCATCCACAAAACAAGCATAATTAGGATAGTTAACCGAAGATCCCTCCATAATCCGATTCATAGGACATGGCCTCCCATCTTCCGCATCATCATTCTCCTCCGACTGCGCTGCTAGCCATAATTGTGCCTCACTTTCCGCTAATCTCAAATAATAGTACTTTATCTTTTTTTTTTTTTATATAGTACTTTATCTTTTTTCTTCTCCTTTAATTAAGCTAACGGTTTGACTGGTTAAACTTAACGTCACTTGCCTAGCTTTAAAAACTGAGGGTAGTTTTTGATGTTAAACTTAACGTCAATTTTAAAACTGAAATAAATAAATGTTAGTCGCCCCTTAATACGTCGGTTAGAAAAGTCAGTTTTAAACCGACGTTAGGCTTGATAAAAACCGACGTTAAATCCCCATTTTTTTGTAGTGACAGAACGATTCCAGAGCCCCATATTGTATCCCAATACACGATACATTACGAGGCATGAAGTTAAGGGCCATTAGAGGTAGAGGTAAAAAAGGTCAAATCGAAGAAAATATTTGGTAAGTGAACAAAATGTATCATTTAAAGGTGTAACATTTGATTATTAATTTTTGCAGTGAAAAAGTTGACTTAGGGGAAGTTATTGGGACAATGATTTTGAAAGATTTTTAGAGTTTAAGAATCTATTGTTATTGATTTATGGATTCTTAGATTTTTAATGAAATATTTTATTATTGGTGTTTGTATTTTGTAATTCTATTTAAAATCCTTTGTTATTCAAAAAGTTGAGTATTTATTGATTTTCCAATTCTATCAAATTCTAGTGTTATTGGGAATATGATTTCTTACATATTTGGTCATTAAAAACAACTTCCAAAATATTGCACTTATCATAAGTATTTATAAAATCTATCATATGAAGAATCTACTAAATTCTAAAAAGTTGGGTAAACATTATTTTAGAATCTACAACTTTTTTTTGAGAATTTTAAAATCTCTAAACTTTTGAAATCCACAAACTATTTTACAATCAACCTCCCAATAATCCCTCCCCTACTCGTCAAATGAAGTCGATGCTCACTTGGAAGAAATTGTGTCTCCCTTACAGAAACTTTTTGTCTGGCTTCAGATTGATCAGCACTTACAAACAAAAGAGGGGGAAAATATTTTTTTTGTAAATTTCTGTTTATGAGATTTGTTCTTCGTTTCTCTCTTCCTTTTGCCTTCCTCGTAAGTCGCAACCTTGAATTCTTCTACATAGCAACATAAGCTTTTCTTACAAAAGACAGTTTACCTTGACTTTGATTTTTCCTCGTCAGTCGTTAAGAAGACCTGTTTCAAAAAAGGAGGGTCAAAAAATATTTCTTTTACACAAATTATAGAATATACTACTACATTTCAAAATAACATTACAAAAAACACTAAACATTTTTGTTAACATATATACAATTGCTATATTTATTTACAGTAAAAAAAATAGATTAGTGTATTAAACCTCAAAAATATTGTGATAGACACTAATTGCAGAAAACCGATTATGTCTTCTCACTTCTCTCTCATCTTCGTTTTCCTTTTCTCATTCGTCACTAGCACCAGAGCTTCTGCTGAAATTCCTTATTTCCTAGATCGGCATTGTCCAATTACGACAACTACTTACTCAGGGGACAGCACTTTCTTTACCAATCTCAAAACCCTTTTTTCCTCTCTCTCTTCCCGTAACACCTCTTACTCCACCGGATTCCAAAGCGCCACAGTGGGACAAGCCCCCAACAAGGTCAGTGGACTTTTCCTCTGCCGCGGAGACCTCTCGCCGGAAGTTTGCCATCACTTAGCTGTCTTTGCCATCAACGACACCATCTTTAAACGGCGGTGTCCGGATACGAGTGAAGCCACGTTTTATTACGAGGAATGCATGCTAAGATACTCTCACAAGAATATCTTATCGACCCTTATATACGATGGAGTATATATCCTGAATAACCCCAAAAATATATCTTATAATCAAAATCAACTACACCGGTTCAGAGTTCTTTTGTCTTCCAGGATGAACCAAGCTGCCATTGAAGCAGCAGACAGTTCTAGAAAATTAAATATATTTGAGACGGAATTGAACCCAGTCCAGACTTTGTACGGCATACTTCAGTGCACTCCGGATCTTACAAGACAAGACTGCTTGAGCTGTTTGCAAAGTTGCAACAATAGATTGCCTCTTTACAGCAGTGGAGGAAGATATATGTATCCTAGTTGTAATGCAAGGTACGAGCTTTACCCGTTTTTCAACGAAAGCGCCATTGCAACACTGCCACCGGCTTCAGCTCCTTCTCGATCACCACCGTCGATTTTAACTCCCTCACCTCGACCTGGTCTGACCATTCTATTCTCCTTTGATTACATGTTTCAGTGCAAATATTCTTTTGATACATTCAATATGCGGTGGTCTCTGATCTGATACAAACTATAATGTCAAATGTCAATACAGAAGAAGCCAGAAAGTCCTTTGTCACAATCATCGCTGTTGTAGTTCCAATCTCCGTCCTGTTTCTTCTTTTCGTAGTTGTTTTTAGTTTCCGGCCCAAGAGAAAAAGGACGATTCATGAGACAGAACCACTAGCTGGAGGTAAAACTCTAATGATAAGCTAAGCTTCTCTGTTCCAATGAATATTAAGTTTTGCTCTTGTCTTAAGTAAACTGTTGAGGTTATTTCTACAGATGGAGATGATATTAAGACTGCAGGCTCCCTTCAGTTGGATTTTAGGGCAATTGAGGCAGCAACAGATAAGTTTTCGGAAAGTAACAAACTTGGTCAAGGTGGATTCGGTCAAGTCTACAAGGTAATATTATTGTAGATTTTCTGTTTTGTGCTCAAAACCACAGTAACGTGTGTTATGTAAAACACCTCCCAACAATACTCTGTTTTTATTCCCCTGTTTCCAAATCAGATATCACACACATATGTTAAAAAGCATTGAGAACATATGGGATTAAGTGCAAAAATCTTTGTCTAATCGTTGTGGACCAAAACAAACTGTGCCCGTAATTATTCCTTCATGTGTAACGAATTCGAACATAATTGCACTGAAGTACTTCATTTTATGATTATATTTATTAGGAATGCTGACTCACATCACATATATACTACCCAAGGAACACAATCCCACATGGATGATGGGATAAATTCTTGGATAATATATATATATATAGGATGTGACAATCTGTTTGCCTTGAGCTAGCTTTTAGGTAGACTACATTTCGTAATATACTTGTGAATCCTTTTAAAATCAAATTTTCCTATAGGGTACATTTCCTAACAGAGTACAAGTTGCTGTGAAAAGGTTATCAAAGACATCAGGACAAGGTGAAAGAGAGTTCGAAAACGAAGTTATTGTTGTGGCTAAGCTTCAACATCGCAATTTGGTCAAGCTTCTCGGATTTTGTTTGGAAGGAGAGGAAAAGATACTTGTATATGAGTTTGTGGCAAACAAAAGCCTCGATTATTTTCTCTTTGGTCTGTTAAATTCAATACTTAGCCTAATATATCATTTTCAAATTGCATGCCACTCTTTGTTACTCACATTCTATATACGGTGTAGACTCTAAGATGCAGAGCAAGCTTGATTGGGCAAGAAGGCACAAGATCATTGGAGGAGTTGCAAGAGGAATTCTTTATCTTCACCAAGATTCACGACTCACAATTATACACCGTGACCTCAAAGCGGGCAACATCCTCTTGGACGTTGATATGAACCCGAAAGTTGCAGATTTTGGAATGGCGAGAATTTTTGGGATGGACCAAACGGAAGCCAATACAAAAAGAGTAGTTGGAACTTAGTAAGTATATTACTCTTGCCATTTTATCATATCTAGACCGTAATACATTTCAATCAACTCAAAAATTAAGAACTATCGCAGTGGTTACATGTCTCCCGAATATGCGATGTACGGCCACTTCTCCATGAAATCAGATGTGTATAGTTTTGGGGTCTTAGTTCTTGAGATTATAAGTGGCATGAAGAACAGTAGCCTATATCAGATGGATGGTAGTATCAGTAACTTGGTTACATATGTGAGTACAAAGCCTTAAAACTTTTTTTCTTTTTAATGCTTTATTTATTTTCACAAATTACATAGTATTAAAATGTTGAATGTTCAATAGACTTGGAGATTATGGAGTAATGGGTCGCCATTAGAGCTTGTGGATCCATCCTTTGGAGATAACTATCAAAAAAATGTAATTACTAGGTGCATCCATATCGCTTTACTCTGTGTTCAAGAAAATGTTGAAGATCGTCCAACTATGTCAGCAATCCTCCAAATGCTCACTACTAGCTCGATTTCTCTCGATGTGCCTAAACAACCTGGATTTTACTTTCGAGGTACGGATGAACAAAAAGGAGAAGTTGGTACATCTATGGATGCTATATGTTCAGTCGATGATGCTTCCATTACTAGTGTTGCTCCTCGTTGAATACTATTCACTAAAAGTTGTAATATATGACTCTAGACTATTAAGCCTGGACTATGTGAACAAAGATTCGTCTAAATCACACTGTCTTTCCACTGTTCATTTTGTTTTTCTTATGTGTCCAGCAAGCAGCAAAATGATACTAAATTTTATAGTTTGGTTTTGCTTTAACAAGGATTTATCTCATTGATTAAGGAATGAAAACAATGATAGTAGCTCAAAAATGATTCGCTTTGCTACGGAAGATGATAAAGAATGGATACATTGGAGATTCAGCTCCAGTTTTCGCCTGAGGCAAAAGAAAAGATACGTCCAAGCACATGAGAAAGCAATTGCAACAAAAACAAGCATCCAAGGATCTTTTGCTTTGTAATAAATAGCTTAACTCTGTTTTTCGTCCTTGTAGTCATATACCTCGAACAGAGTCTCCCAATGTTCCACAAGTATACTTAAACTTGTTTTAGTTTGAAAGTTCAATCCATCAGATACTATGAAAGGGAAAAAGTAAATAAACAGTCCAATCATAGGTTAAACCAAAAAAATAAACTAACCCTGAAGCTCAATTGGTTACTTTTGTTTTCTCCTCTTTTCATATTAGGCTATTGATATAAGATTTCTGTATCAATATTTGGTTTATGAAAGAATATACATCTCAAACATTAGCTGTAATTTCAGCGAGGACTAAGACACGTGATCGATACAGAACAAGCAAAAGACATGCTAGTAGACCGACCTGCAGGCTGCAATCTCTCGGCTAATGGGTTTGGCTTGGATCTAACGCTAAAGACAAATCCTGGTGGTTGAGGTACATGAAGAGTAATTGATGTATTAGTGAGCATATGAAAGACTGTAGACATCGTTGGACGATCAGCAGGATTTTCTTGAACACATAACAACCCGATGTGAATGCATCTAATGACTTCATTTCTATCATAATTCTCCTCCATGGCTGCGTCTACCAGTTCCAACAATGATTCATTGTTCCAAAGCCTCCATACCTATACAAGTCATTTATCAAGAAACCAAATGTTGAGAGCCATGATATCGTTGCTAAGAGAATTAGAATAGTTTGTGATGGCATTGGGAATTTACTAACATATGTGACCAAGTTGCTTATTGAGCCATCTAGTTCGTTAAAGCTACTACTCTTTTTTCCACCAATAATCTCCAGAATCAATACTCCAAAGCTATACACATCAGATTTCGTCGAGAAATGGCCATTCGTCACATATTCGGGTGGCATGTAGCCACTGCAAGATACATCGTCATATCACTTTCAGTTTTATCAACAACAATAAGGACAAACCGATTATAAGTAAAATGGACAATTACTTACAATGTTCCCACTACTCTTCCTGTGGTAGCTTCAGTTTGATCCACTCTGAAATTCCTAGCCACACCAAAATCCGCGATCTTTGGGTTCATATCTGCATCTAATAGGATGTTACCAGATTTGAGGTCACGGTGAATGATTGTGAGCCGTGAATCTTGATGAAGATACAAAATTCCTCGCGTAATTCCCTCGATAATGTTGTATCTTCTTGTCCAATCTAGTTTACCCTTCTTTATCGGGTCTGCACAAATTCCATATACGAAACAATTAGACTATGAGATCAAGAACTAAGACGTTTCAGAGAATATGCATTACCCTATCATTTGTTTCTTTTCTTACCAAAGAGAAAGTGGTCGAGACTTCTGTTGGGCAAAAACTCGTAGACCAATATCTTTTCATCTCCTTTGACAGAATAACCGAGAAGCCCAACAAGATTTCTATGTTGAAGCTTTGCTACAAGAAACACCTCGTTCTTGAACTCTTCTTCACCCTGTCCCGATGTTTTGGACAACCTCTTCACAGCAACTTCTGTTCCATTCGGAAGCGTTCCCTGTGGATTAATATGATCTTCACATCATTAACAGAAACTTGTTTTTTTTTTTTTTTCATTCTAACACCAAAAAAGTACTAGAGACAAACTTATACCTTGTAAACTTCACCAAATCCACCATGACCAAGCTTGTTAATATTATGAAAATTACTTGTGGCAGCTTCAATTTCTTTAAACTCAAATTGAAGCGAACCTGAAGTTGTAATATCATCCGCAGCTGCAGAAACAAAAGCATGCATATATAGTGTTTATACCGGAGAGAAACAGAGGAAGTGTTTGAAGTTCATGTCTATGGACGTAGATGGGCTTTGAACTCTCAAGTTATGTTTCCAAAACATGAAGAAACTCACTTTTCGTTGTCTTTGCTTTGTACACTCTTCTCCTCTTCCAAATACCAAATCCTAGAGCAAGCAATAAGATGGGAACAAGGACAACAGCCACAATAGTTCCTGTAGTAATGCTTCTGCCATCTGCATGAAGCCATGAATCCAAGGAAAAGTATCGGTTACCAAACCAAGAACAGAGCATAAAGAAGCTTCATAATATAGTTATAAAAGGTTATAATCACCACAAGGATCGCAAAACATGGACACATGGTCTTACCTTTTTGAGGAGGAGGAATACTATCGAAAATTCCCAAGAACGAATAAATCTCCCATCGAACGAAACAGCTTGGCCTAGAAATGATGCCTCCTTGTCTCCCACTGCAACACGAGTTATACTCAATCACGTTTTGTTGTAGACACCTGGTGCAGTTTTGAAGAGATAAGTCTTTACTACATTGCCCAAAACCGTAAAGTTGTGAGATGGACGACTCAAGCTTTCGTATTCTGGCTCCATAGTACAAAGACGAAGTTTGGTCTATCACATCAACCATCAAAGCCTCCCATGTGATATCTAAATCCGTCGAGTTAGCTTCGAGATCTCTGGTATAGTTATCACTCCGCAGACTCTCCATACCGAGCAATCCATAAAAGGAGCGGTTTGAGTAGCGTACAAGACAAACTGTTCTACGTGTATCCATTCTCCAGTCTATAGCTTCTTTCTGATAAGTACAATTATGCAACAATATAGCATTGGAAGTGATGATACAATCAGAGCAAGAGTGTGCATCAGTACCCGGGATACACATCCCTAAACCATATGCTCTGTTTGGATATTCCCCCATCGTTGCCGTGTAGAAGCCGTCATTGGCTGTGACGTTAAAAGGAAGAGAAGAAAGCAGGGCTCGGCGGTTTAAGTCGTATGTATCATTGGCTGTGAAATAACCAGATCTTTCAAGACATATACGTGCAGATACATGACAAAAGCTTATTATGAAGACAAACCAGAAGATTAGAGACGACTTGACCATTTTTATTCTTTCCCTTTGTGTGTTTTGATGTATGAAATAAAAACATCCAATCTTGAAATATATAATTTCTTATAATGTTGAATACGATTAAGGGGATTCAATTTTTAATGTCTTGTGCTGTACAAATTTGACTAATCAACATTGAACTCTTCTAAGTTCTAACGAAGACTTTGGATTTAGATGAGTCCTCACTTGATCAGTCACTAGTTGAGTTAGGTGGCTTAGGTTTTCAATAACCGGTTCAGTCAGATACTTTCCATATTAGTGACTGTGGTAATACAACTAACAAATCCTTTTGAAGCTCATGAAGCAGTAATATTAATGCCAACAAAAGTCAAAAGGGTATCATATTAAAAACTTTAAAACTTTGGGGCGTTATTTGTAAAGCTAAAAAATTAGTGGGGTGAGTTTTTAATTGGAGGAAACAGATATCAATCTTTTACTGTGTCATTAGCGAGGCAGCATCGAGTACTCACCGGAAAATGGACGCCGGAGCTGAAATCGATGTAATTGAGCCGGTTGAGGACGATTCAGCGGAGGAAACTGGTCCGGACCAAGACCACGGCGAAAGATCTGAACCGTCTTCGTTGAAACAAGGGGGGATTCTGAGAACTCTTGCGACGGTGGAAAAGGATTCTCAGGCAATCGCGGAGAGCTTTTCGTCTCTCTTTGTTTCTCTCCGATCAACTCTCTCTGAGGTTAGACTACGCTTCTGTGAATTGATTGGTTACCAAATTTTCCTGAGAAACTATGACATTTGAGCGTATTGAAGTCAAGGGTTCTGAATCCAATCAATTTTGTGAATTTCTCATAAATTTAGAAACTTTAGGGATTGCTTGCTGCAGATTAGGAGATTTCATCAGTAAATGGAAAAACCAATATCAGTCTTAGTGGACCACTGAAACAATTGCTAAGTTTAGTTCAATGGCGTTTGACTTCATGGAAAATTTTTATTTTTCAGAAATGTTTATTTGAATAAAATCTTTGTTTGTGAGACTTTTTCTTATGGTGTTATAGGCTACTGGTAGCTCGGTTGATCACATGAGTTGCTTTGGAGATGCAGCAGGAAGGCTTCAGGAAAGTGGTAAGGACATTTCCTGGTATTGAGCCTAATTGGTTATTGTAATCTTTATTAGGGACTTTGAGCAATGGGTCCAATTTTGCCATTTATATAAGTCAACAATCAACTTGAGCTGCTTTTTTTTTGTTTTATGACTTTTCAGCTTTAGATGCAGCTACCAAAGGGAACCGTTATATCAACTCTTGCCTTAGGTACTTACATAACAGTCTTGATATTACTCCAATCTGATCACAGAGCACACTGAATCCATTCCTTAGATACGTTTCCTATTAGTTTAGGATATAGATATCTTTCCCTCTGTTTCATATGAATTTGATTGTGATTCCAGGCTCTTGACCTCTAACTTTCAAAATGCGTTCACGGTTGTGAACGAGTTCATATGTATATTGCTTCCGGTATGATTTCCTTTTGGCCCAATATGCAGATTAAATGAGGAAATTAAAGGTGTTGAGAATTTGGCGGCTCGGTTGTATCCTTAATATGGTTATTTGCGTGTCAATTATGTTTGTGTCTTAGTGTCTGAAACTCTGAATGTTGAACATACAGACACAGACATACCACGTCAGTTCATAGATTTCTTAGTCATGGTTTTTTATGAGTTTGTTCTAGAATCCTTAATAAATCATTCTGCAGAAAGCACCTGAGGAGAAATGTGGATGTTCTTGACACGGCTGTGAACAAGCTGCTCCGGCCTCCATGAAAAGTCATCAGTTTTAGAGACTTGGATCACTTTTTTATTTCTTTCACAGACTTGGATCATTTATTTCTCGTACATAAAGGATGGTTTATACATTAAGAAGAGAAACAACACTATGTCCTTCAAGGGTCTTCTAAACAGTTTTAGCAGTGCAAAGCTTCATAATGGTATAATGCTTCAAACACCCATCTTAACTTTGTAAAACTACTTGAATCTCTATAACGGTTTGGTTTATCAACTATCAATTTAGTAGCTTCTAGTACCTTCAAGTGATCATGTTGTTATTTGAGCTGGCTGTTCAGGAATCAGGACAATTACATGTATGTTTCCATTGGGGTTTTGAACTTTATCTATGTTTTTGG